ATGGCTAAGGCCTGGTAAATTTCATCAGACAACCGGTCCAACGAACTTATAAATTTTTACCGAGAGGCAAACAAAAATTTCACAATTCGATTTACTCGCTCATTTTCTTTACAAATCGAAAGAAAAATGCTTCACAGTTACATCGAATTAGGTGCCACATGTATGCGACAATTGCAACAGATTAGAAAACTGAGAAATTTAAACACGCTGTAAACATTGCCTCGGATGAGAGCGAACTCTAGTCCTGTTTCGTCAGTCAGAAATTCACTACAGGGAACAACCCAGTCGTAAATTGCGTTAAGTTTAATTAGTATTGAAATTACTATCTGCGTTAAGTGAGGTCTTGGCAGTTCAGGGAGATAATAATAACTTGCACGTCAATGGTTTTCTCTATGCGTCAATGTTAGAGAGCAATTCAATTCTGTATTAAATTCTTTATCTTTAACACTAAAACCGTAGGTGTGCCTTTGCTAAATCGAGCTAATAATTCTAAAATGACTTCCTGGAAGAAATTGCTACATTAGCAATAAGGCCGCCTATATGTATACTATGTCTCCTATGTTTTCTTTCTATGTATTTCCTTGTGTGCAATAAAGTATATTCTTTTCTATTCAACTGTACAGATTTTTCTTTCCGAAGCCGGTAAACGCGAAATCGGTTCATCTTTACAACAAAAGGGCAATGTTATAAAAATCTTAGGGGGAATTATCGCAACCTCACAGAAATATGTAAAGTATTTCTGTGAGGTCGAGATGTTTCCCTTGAAGTGCAGACGCGGGTACTTTCATGACGCAGAAGCCACTGCGTCGCTTTTCAACACTACAAACATTGCTGACGCCAGTCAACGTAATTTCACGTGAGGCGTCATCCAATTTTAGAGTATGTCGTCTGAAGATATGTCGGATCGGTCCAAGTTAGGGACAACTCACTTTAGTACTCAATTCAGTGAAAACTTCAGCCGTAATGTTTATCAGTTCAAGGATAATAAAACAGGCTCATGGTATTTCCGTTAAAGAGCAGGCGCGGTGCAGGTGCTTTCATGTGATAGCAGATGTTACTCCGTGTCTCTTCAACACGACAATCGTAAAGCGTCATCGAATTGTGGTGTAGGTCGTCTAAGATATGTCGGATCGGTCTGAGTTAAGAGACACACACCCTTTGGCACTCAATTCATCTAATACTTCAGCCGTAAGGGTCATCAGTTCAAGGACAATGAAACAGTAATAACAATTAAACGAGCCAATCTCGAATTGGGTGAATCGATTCGCTACGGGTCATGCATCAATTGTGATCGTGTGTGTCTAATGTAATGATAGTAACGGTCAAACGTGATATAAGAATTTCTGGAACTTGTAAACGACGGCTCGATGATTAAGAATTGATATTTAAAAATAAGGCAGAGGGCGAAAATGGAAATCATTTATCCTAGATTTGTTAGATAAAAAATCAGAAAAGTGCCGCTTCTTAAAGTTTTGTCCAACGGTTAAAAAATAAAACTTGTAAAGAGCATCAATATTAACAGTAATCAACATATTTCTATACCCTCTATACCTTCGTTTGATATTAATATTTCCATACTAATAAAACAGATTTTAATAGTTCTTTTCGTTTAGGTAAATATTGGCGTAAATATTCTGTTATTTACTTTCATAGTAAGATTTTGATGATGCTTTTTTTAATTAATGTGTCACCAGGGCCTCTCAAATTCCTTCGCATTAGAGGCCTATTAAAAGGTTGTACCATTGTTGTACCAATCTTATCAACCACGAAAATCTCGATCTGTTTCTTATATTCACGAGCTTGATTCAGAGAACGATGCTCAGAAAATAAAAAGCATTATATTAGAAAGAACTTTTATATTTTTTATTATCTCCTTCACGTTACGAGCGATAGATTAATGACCTGCAAATAAAATGTTTCGATATAAATTCGAATAAAACGCGCGATACTTATTAATCGAGACCGAACGATGCGCTTAAACATCGAAATGTACAAAACTATGTAAGAATTTTAAAAGAGTATCTGTAATAAAGAGTTTCATTATCTATGCCAAGATTCTCCTTAGATATGGCCTAAAATAACAGACCGCTTTAATATGAAGAAAAATAAAAAATTTACCCGTCGTTAACTTCTGCGTGGCTTCAGCTCCAACTGTCGGTGGTAAATTATCGTCGACAGCTTTGCAAAGATTTGACAAACAGTAATAATGGCTTCCAAGAGACGCGAGCTGCGGAAGCAAGAAAAGTTTTGAATCAGCTCATTATTTCAAGATTCTCTTGCAATTTAAAATAACAAGTCGCAGTTTAATAATTTTGTTAAAAAAATTACTTGTCTATTGCACGTTAGTCGTGCTTTACGTGTTTTAAAGTATTTTCGTTACTGAAGTTCATTAATAATAAATAATAAAATATCTTTATTCACATAGACGCTTGCGCGTTCTTCTGAAACGTCGAATTTTTAAAAATGTACAAGGAAATTAATATGTTCGTAAGTTACCACCGGTTCGGAAAGCAGTATCTGTTGAGAAGAAACCGGCAAGAAACTCTACAGTTGTTCTTTTTTAAAAGTCAGTTTACAATATAATGTTACAGGTATAATAAATAGTCTTGTTTTAGCCTACGTGAGTATCAACAGAATTAACCCCACACATTGGCGTCGTCAAGATATTCAGCAATAGTATAATATGCTTTAGCTATCAGTTTACTTTTAACTTTTTGTTTAAATTCATCAAGTGGCAGACTTAATATCGACTGGGATTTTATTATACATACGCATACTCTGCCCCATGAACGACCTGTTTACTTTTTGTAGACGTAACAATGGCGTAGTTAGTTTGTCCTTATTTCTAGTATTTAGTTTATGTCTGTCACTATTCTTTAGATTATTAATATTATGTTTAACATACAAAATATTACAATAAATATATTGAGACGCAACAGTGCGTGTATTAATCTCTTTACAAAGGTCTCTGAGTGTATTCCTGACTCCGATGTTATAGATTGCTCGGACAGCACTTTTTTGAAGAATAAATATAGAATTTATATCAGATGCACTACCTCACAACAAAATGCCGTATGACAAGATGCTGTGCATGACTGTGTGCATAATAAGCGTCTACTTGTCTGTCTGGTGGTAATGATAACTTACAAACGCACGTAACAAAGAAGATTTGTTATCCCACCAGCAAGTAAAACAATATACTATTACACGTCATAACTTTACGTTACAGTCAAAACTTGTTTCTCACCTCAGATGAATATATAATAACGCTTTTATAAATCTCGTTACAGCATGACATCATTTTTGTTTGAATCAATGTACATAGTAAATTGTGTACCATACACGTTTGTTGGCTATCATTGCAACGATACGGGAGTATGAGGACACGTAGCGGAGACTTAAAAAGATCGTGTCGTCGATTCTAAACTCGCTGGCGTGCATTAAATAATTTATTGTGAATATATGTGAATGAATTTATAAACTACAAAAGTCACTGGCATAGATTTAAAACAGTTCTACACTTAGTTCATTAGATAAATATTGATAGTGCCGTAGTAGATGTTAAATAAAACTGTTTTACGAATGATATCGCGTTGTTTTTGTTTTAATTTCTTCCGTTTCGCCGAATCGAGCACTATACATTATCCAAGGCCGCCCTTTAAGTATATCATAATTATAACGAGCTAATAATTTAGACATCTGCGAAGAGAAAAGTTCACTTTACCTTTACTCCTCCGCTATCTGTAGGTCTGTCTGTCCGTCTGTCACCAGGTTGTATGTAATGAACCATGATAGTTAGACAATTGAAATTTTCACAGATGATGTATTTCTGTTGCCGCTATAACGAATAAAAAAGTATTAAAGTGGGGCCCATACAAACATCCCATAGAACAGACATATTTTTTTTTTTGCCGTTTTTATAGCTAATGGTACGGAACCCTTCGTGTACGACTCGCACTTGGTTCTATGATCTAAAGCATAAAAAAATACGTTGCCGTATATGAGCTCTAATCCAATTTTCTTGTCAACTGCGACCTCAAGGTCTTCAATAGGTATCATGTAACTGTTCCGTTTGAATGCGATCATCGAATGAATTGACTCTATGAATAATGTGACCGCCTCACATTACTTGTTGAACGGGTAATCATGCATTGCAGGGCTGCGTACTGCCTAGTCGCACACGTCAATTTAAAAATAGACAAACTAAATTGATAAACCGAGTGAAAAGTGTATTGTGTTTGTTATATGCGTATTATGCCGATGAGGACATTTGGTTCAATAGGCAAGATACGTCCATGGATATTTTTTTTTTTATATTTTTCTGTATCTACCTTATTAAGTATCACTACATAGTACATAGTAGGTCTGCCTGTCCTTATGTTTGCTTAGATCTTTAAAATTACGCATCGGATCGTGGTGCGGTTTCGTTTACTGGATAGAGTGACTCAAGAGGAAGGTTTATATGTTTTTTTTTTTTTTTTTTTTTTTTTATTATCTTTATTTTTATGGGGTTTTTATCTATAAAGATACGCCAACCCCAAGGTTTATATGTATAATACATTGCACCCGTGCGAGTCGGGGCGGGTCGCTAGTGATGTATAAATATAATTAAGTACCTGTAATGATAGTGTAAGGTTTTTGTTAATAAATAAAAAAACATAAAATTTAATAAATAAATATATTAAAAAAAAAAAATGATCACAGTGCCCAGGCTTTTCCGCAACATATCATCATCGTTCATTAGCTTTAGGTTCAGTACAAACTAAAATCGTTAAGTTATGCTTGCGCTAAAAAGATTATTGCGAAAACTTAAAACACAGACATAGTATTACTATACAGGTTATAATAGTTATTAAGACACATTATGGGGCATATATAATAATGAAATATAAGATATTTCAAGTAAGTCAACCCGATCCAGCGTTTATAAGCATTTAGTCACTTTTCTTACGTTTGTGCAAGAAGCGTGAAATTATGCACCACCGGGGGGGTTCTTTGAAATGGTTGCGCAGTACACGCTATACTTTTCGGAGAAGTCATATGCAATGCTGCGATGGTAGGATACTGCCCTCCCGTTCGTGCCGAATCGTTTTTTACCCGATTGCGCCAGAAGGAGAGTTTTGTTTTTCGAGAGTATATATGTATGTATGTATGTATAATTGTTTGGCACGCTCTGCAGCCTGAACGGCTTGATGGATTTTAGCTTGAGTGGTGTCGTTGTATTTGTATTTACTGTGAGACTAACACTGGATAAATCAAAATAAAATAAATACACGGAAACGTAGTCGGATTTTATCGTTTTTTTTAAATTATATTCTTTGCCGAACTCCCGCTACACAGTGGTGCAGTTGCCAACAGCATTGTTATCCGATTTTAAATACGCATTTTTATGATATTTGGTACTACTATTTAGCGACAAATCGATTTATGCACCCGACTGTACACACGCATTACGCGGGCCCAACTTTAATATCATCAGCCCTGTCCACAAATTGCGCCGTGCAATCCAGCAGTTGAGTATCCGCCAATAGGCGAGTTGGGATTTGCCGCCGCGACAAGAACGGCGTGGGCGCTAATGATTCAGCATACTACTGTGGGCCGCTCAAGGACTTCCCTTTTACCGCGCCGACCAAGGAAGCAATGGACACCCGCCTCTCTGTCCGAACTGCTAATGACAGTGGACGATTTTACTTGGTCAGCAGTGTGGGCTTCGATTGGGCGCTTTTACGCATAGCATATGTTTCGATAGTCATGGATAAGTTATTAAGTAGTAAGGAGTGATAAATTTTCTCTTCGTTCCTAACTATACTCTCCGCCTGTTCGCATTTCTAGATCAATTATTGGATTGATCTAGAAGTGCGAGCAGTTATTTTTTTAGGCATACGCGATTATGAGGTAATAAAAGGCACACTTTTGAGACTGCCTTTATATTATATAGGACGTTTTGTATTTAGCTTTAGATGTGAATTGTGCTATTAAGCTGACGCCAAATGACAACCGATTAAGACATGGCGGATAAAACACTGACGCGCGGTTTCGGAAACACTGATCATCGTAGAAATTAACTAATCAGCTGAAAAATGGCTTTTTTTAATGATCAGAATAACCAAATCAAAGAGTTCAACCATCCTTTTGGCTCGAATAAGATTTGAATAGCCATTTGACAGCTGATTAATTAATTTCTACGATGATCATGTTTCAGCAACCGAACGTTAACGTCAAGTGATGACAATTAGTCAGTTATAATTAAAGCAAACATAATGACTTCATGATGACAGGCTTTTGTGACTTTTTTATCGCCGTTCTGAGATGGTTCGTTTAAAAATTTCTCACTGGTTTGGGTACGCACTGGAACTTAATGTTATCGTTTCTTTAATTAAAACTATTTTGTGGATCTTATCACGTTTAATCTCGTTCACTAATAGTCGATGCTTTGAAAACTTTAAGGCATCTATGGCCACGGCAAGACTGAAGTTTATGACGTCCTACGTAACTACCCTAACTAACATCAACTGTGAATATTTCAACTGTTTAATCACGATTCAAGGGAGATACAGACACAGATAAACCGACAGACCGCCTTACGGAAGTACGGACGGACGGACAGACTGGCAACATCTTAGTAATAGGGTCCCGTTTTACCCTGTGGGTGCGGAACCATAAAAAGCCTTAGTGAACGAACAATTTAACACACGAGAGATAACTCCCGAATCGTTTTCTTAATTATAAAACGGCGAAACGGAAATGTTTACAGTAGACTCGTAACTAAAAACTGGCACGGATGGCGCAACGTACATTTATTTACGGGCGCATTTCGCGTACCTACATTAAACCCGCCGAATTTAATGTCACGTCGAACTGTCCCACAACTCACCGTCGAATACGGTGGACCGTGTTTAACTTTTATTATCACATTTCCGTCGTTAAACTTTCCGTCTACGGCGCAGTTTAACTCTGGCCCGGTGTTATTGGTGGTACAAAGTTTCGCACCGAACAACTTGATTACAACTCGACTACGCTGCCATTTATATGTTTTTTCTTGTTTCAATAACTATTGCGACTTTCTTAAATGACTTCTTTAAATGATTCGGTAGAGGTTAAATATAATGAGGATTTTTGAGATGGCGATTGATTCTTTTGCTTCAGTTTGTAGCTTTCCTTAAATGTGAAATCGAAATAAGTACATTATTTTATAAAAAGTTAACTTTGATCAGGTTGATTTTATTTAACGCTAAATTAGTAGATAGTAGATCTGGAACTGACGTCGTTACAGGGTCGTCGTCGCTGAAAACTATAGATTAGATACTGATAAAATGACAGAGGATAGTTGCAATCTATTTGGCAGATTAGCAACTCCTGTCGGTTTTTACTGTGAACCGATTGGTTCAGTTTGCAGCATTAACATTATTTTAATTCATTAATTTATTTCCCAACATTCTCACAGTCATTATATATAAATTACAACTTTTCTTTTATTAACATTGTATTACAGCAGTGTTCATTTCTTTTCTGTTATCGATTTTAGTATAGGCACTTTTCAGCACTTTTAGTCATTGTAATAAATGGAAATAACCAAATTCTAAATCTCATTACAATGTTTGGTCTTGCCTTTGTTAATTTTTCTGTTTTTATTCTACATTTAACTGATAGGGATACATCACTCAATTTTAATATCAACTCAAATACAACAATTTTTGTTGTATTTTTCATAACTTCATTTTGAAGGCAGGCAATGGTTTCAATTCATTCTGCCACAGGTAAAATTTATTATTGTTTAACGTCTTTCTTTTGTTTTGGATTGTATTAACTTTTTTTTTCTCCTTTTATCATTTTTTTTTTAATTTGTAGCTCTTTAATAATCTAATCGTCAAATGTTTTAACTTACAATAATTTTTTTTTGTTAATTGTAATAATAAGGATTGGCTACAACTGAAATTAATAGTGCATATTTATATCCTTTTGTATATTTTTTGTTGTTCTTTTTTTTATCATTATTATAATGTTAATTTCTTATTTGTAAACTGTCAACTGTTGGGATGGTGCATAGTAGATATAGTGTTTGTTATTGTTTTTCTGCTTTACATAAGCTATTCAGTAGTTTTTCTGTATTCTTTGTTTTAGTTAAGGTTTTTATTTATTTATTGCATATTACATAAAATTTTATTATTATTAATATTTACACATTCTTATTGTAGTTATGTCGGATAATGATTCTTTTTATTCCGCCAATGATTTACATTCCTCGTTTGCTTCTTGTGATCTTTTGAATGAGAGCATGCTCTCTTTACGTGATAGGCTCATGAGTGCATTTACATCCTGTAGTAAATTGTTTAACGTATGCCACATCAATGCGCAAAGTATTCCTAGTCATTTTTCGGACTTTGAGGATGCATTTTCATCTGTATACGTCCATGCGATTCTAGTATCTGAGAGCTGGCTAAAACCTTCTTTGATGTCCAGTTTATATCCTCTTTCCGACTTTGTACTGATTCGGAATGACCGGACGGAGAAGGGGGGAGGCGGGGTTGAGGGCTAATATACCTTATAAGATTGTCTTTGCATCCCCCTCTCCTTATTCAGCTTCTGCTGAATATTTATTCCTTGAAGTTTGTGTACTGGGCATAAGGGCGATTTTAGGGGTAGTGTACTGTCCCCCCTCTGTTGATTATTTCAGCGATTTTGAAGCTGCTCTTGATTCAGTTTGCTCTGAGTACACGCACTGTATGATAATGGGTGATTTCAACACTGATCTGTTAAAAAATACATCTCGTTCTCAAAAACTTCGATCAATTATTGACTCAGTCGACCTCCATATCCTGCCGTTAGCGGCAACTCATCATAATGTTCACACTGATGATTCATGGATTGACCTCATTATAACAGCTTCCCCTGACCGAGTTATGAAGCACGGTCAGCTATCTGCTCCTAGCTTTTCCCACCATGACTTAATTTATTTTTCCTATAAACTTATCCCTCCTAAACCTATTCCCACATTTTTGCACTTACGAAAATTTTCAAGAATTGAGTTGGAAAAACTGAGAAGTGACGCATCGCTCATCGACTTTACCCCTTTAGCTACTGCGCCTACGATTGATGATAAAGTGGTGCTACTAAACAATATGGTACTTAACCTGTTTAATACTCATGCACCTGTACATCTCGTAAGGGTAAAGCGTCCTCCCGCTCCATGGATGTCTAGAGGCGTTAGGGTGGCAATGGCGAGACGGGATCGGGCCTTTGCGAAGTTTAAACGGGAACGTACGGAAGAGAATTGGTTACATTTTAAATCTCTTAGAAACAGATGCAATCAGATGGTACGAAATGCTAAACGCCGTTATATCCATGCCAATATTAGTAATTCTTCGTCCGCTGATGTATGGAAATTTCTTAAATCTCTTGGCATCACCAAGCCGTGCCCATCAGATCATTTTTCTTCGCTCTCTTTAGATGACATTAACCAACATTTTATTTCTACTCCATCTATGGACCCTACTATCCGCTCTCAAACAATTACTTCTATTGGTTATTTGTCACCTCTTAAAATTCCACATTTTCAGTTCACACCGGTAAATCTCAATGTCGTTAAAAAACACTATAATAGCAATCAAATCTAAAGCTGTGGGAAGCGACGAGGTTAGTAAACAAATGATTACAATGATCCTGGACTACCTTTTACCTGCAATCACCCACATAATCAATTTTTCTTTGGACTCTGGTGTTTACCCATCCTTGTGGAAAAGAGCTTTTGTTCTGCCACTTGCCAAAATCCCCAATCCTTCTTTGCCTAACCACTTTCGTCCTATTTCTATTCTTCCATTTCTCTCTAAAGTTCTTGAGGCCTGTGTTCATAAACAAATTTCCGTATTTATTGCTAAACATAACCTATTGAACTCTTATCAATCTGGGTTTCGTCCGGGTCACAGTACCACCACTGCACTTATTAAGGTCACCGATGACATACGAAAAGGTATGGATGTTCAAAAGCTCACAGTGGTGGCGCTTGTGGACTTTTTTTCTAACGCTTTCAACACAGTTGACCATGAAATCCTCAGATCCTACCTTACTTACCTTAGATTTTCTACCCCAGCTTTGGATTGGTTTTCCTCCTATCTTCGCGATCGCCAACAGTCGGTCCGCTTAGGACAGCAGTGTTCTGCCTGGGCGGACGTTGATTCTGGGGTGCCGCAAGGCGGTATACTTTCTCCTATCATGTTTTTCATTGTTTATTAACTCTATAACCTCAGTTATCAATTGTTCGTGTCATCTGTATGCAGACGATCTACAGCTTTACGTCCAAACAGATATTAATGATCTTAACAACAGCATAATAACCCTTAATAACAATCTGGAATCAATTAGAGATTGGTCGCACAGATTTGGAATTACCGTTAATCCTTCTAAATGCAAAGCTATTATAATTGGTGTTCCAAGGATGCTTGCCAGGATTGATTATGGTAGCTTTGTCCCTGTCACTTACAATGGAACGTTAATTCCGTTCTCTGAATCTGTTAAAAATCTTGGCTTGTATTTGGAACAGTCGTTTAGTTGGGAAACACAGGTTGCCGAAGTCAGCCGGAAAGTCGTTGCCACCTTACGTTCTCTCTATCGCCTTAAAAATTTTCGGCCCCATAAAACTAAGCTCTTGCTTGTCCAGTCCTTAATTTTACCCATTATTGACTATGCAGATGTGTGTTACCCGGACCTATCCCAATCTCGTCTTAATAAATTGGAGCGACTTCTCAATAACTGCATCAGATTCAATTTCGGTTTACGTAAAT